GTTGCCAATCAGTCAACATCAAAATGCCTCCGTCTTATAAAGAGTAAAAACGAAGATGAGAAACGGGAAGACAGAGAGGAGGAAAAAATGGGTGAAGGAAAAAAGAAAAGTTGGTTTTTGGATGGAATATCACTACAACTTCCATCCGTCGAAAACGGTTAGACAATGTAAATGCCACGCAGTTAGATGGCTTTTGTAAAACATGAAAGAATTATGTTTGAGCTTGGCCACATTTTTGACAACCAAAAATAGCACACCCAAAGCTGAGGCTGATTTTGATCCTAAAATATCAGTGTAGAGTAAAATCAGAAGCAAGACAAAGAGTAAAGAATTGATAAACCTGGACGTGGTTTCGGCGATGGGAAGGGGACGGCTTCTTCTTCCGGTCCTGGAGTAATGCGTAGATTGTAACCAGTTATCTCCTGCAACTTGAGCAAATAATTTTATTAGTTTTGATCCAATCCAAGAAACAAAGTTTAGTAAGTGATAGAAAAGCAGATACGATTTTAAGAAAAAAAGTGTCAGAATTTCAGCAGTTATCGTCAAGTGTCAAGACCCTCTTTGCATTAGCTGTTTATGAGAACAGGCCCTCGTTAAGAAGCGCAAGTGTCAGCAAATGCTGAGACCACTTGCTGGCAAGACTGACAATGGCTTCAACATTAGAGGGTTGCTTACAAGCAAGCTGATAGCAGGTTTATTTATTTGCTGTATGCCAATACAATTTATCACTGAAATGAATAAACGAATCGTAGTGCGATCCCGTTCGCAGGCTTGAACATAAGGCTCGAGCAAAACTTGAACTTACAGCTTATGACATGCCAAAAAAATAATGAATAATTTCAAATCTTATGGTCGATGTGGATGAGAAGAGATGGAGGCAATGAGTTTAAGAAAAATTTTGTTAAAACAAGCTCAATGTGCTAATAAAACACACTCAATGTGCTGACCTCTCCGATGATTTTTTTCTTTTTCTTCAGCGATCCACGTCGTAGCACTTCAGCTGTTGCATCGATGTCATAAACCAAGGCAGCTAAGGTATCTGTTACTGCATTTTGCTCTGCAAAAAACCCACCACATGCCTGTTGAAGTGGCAGTATTTTAAGACAGCTGAACCGGAAAAAAGAGGATGAAAAAGAAAATAAAAGCTGTTGTTCGGAATGAATAGCTCTGAAATGTCATATCAAAAAATGATTGATTTCTGTCAAGACAGTCTACGTCAGAAAGAAGAGATGGGATGTTTATGTGGCATGAATGAAAGCAACAAATAAGCAATGCGGAATATTGAATGGTACTCACACCCACAGCAAGGGGCCGCCAGTGCGGTAGAAGGATCAAGTTGAACGGCAGTATGAAAGACCCGGACGAGGGAATCTCAAAAGCGGAACCCATGATGGAAAGTTTCAAGTTTGCCAGTACTGTCATGCGTTTTTGCACCAAACTTTAAATAATTAGGTTAATTGCATGAATGGTTGTCGCTACACACGTACCTTGTGCGCTCACTACCGTAAATCATCGTAAATTTTGTACAGACGAAAATAAATAATTTTCATTTAGCGGTCGTTCTTTGAAAATGTCTTAGCTGTTCGATGAGCAATTTCTCCGACAAAAAATTTGACTGCCTGTACTCGAGAACTATGCAGGCTGAATTTGAAACCTTTGTCTTTGGGCCGGGAATATTCTTCTAAAATTTCAGCTTTCTAACTTTTCAAGCTTCCAAGTTAGCAGTTTTCTCGCCAAAACTTTCACGTGCTTGTACATGAGTGCCATGCGTACCTGGAGGAATGGGGAAAGCGCTCCTTAATACAATGACAGGTGATCAAAGTGCAAAAGGCTTGAACATCTATTGATGTCATGCAAACATGGGGTAATCCTGAGGTTTGTGCGGAAATATTACACAGAATGAGTTAAGATCTTATTCGGTTCAACGAAAAAGCTCGTACTCTGATCGTCTTTCAATTTGACGAGCTCTTTTTGCATATCCTCGGTGCTGACAGATTTAAGCCGAGTGGAACGCAGGTCTTCAGTTGGCTCTACTGAAATCCTTCCAGTAACTTCCATTTCAGTCTGGAACGACTTGCGCTCCATAACCTATAAAATGTTTCAAAAAAACGTCAACTCGCCATTTGTGCCAATTATGGACAATCATCGAAATCAGTTAAAACTTTATTCAAATCTCATTTGGTCAAGTGACTTCGTGTATTGTTTATCCTGGAAAACACTCCAGGGAATTTGACGGTTATTATAAACATATGTTAAACATGCCGAAAAATACTGAATTTAGACAACATTAGGACTGCTTGAAGGAAAAAAGAACGGAGGAAACATACATATTGGTTGTGCTTCCGCTGGATTAGTTCCGTGGTCGCGTTCACACTGTCTACCATGGTGTCCAATGTATTCTGAACCGCGCCAGCATCTGAACGCCAAAACAAGCTTTTGCAAAATCTTGCCATTTTTTTTAAACAACAAAAAAAGAAAACTGGAAAGAGCATTACAAGCGACTAATCCAGCAACTGGTTTTGAAGCTTTCTATGCCCCAGTCTGGTTCGATGCATAAATTTATTCGTCGAAAAAATGGAAAAACTTTTCGCAGTAAATGCCCTTACAAAGTCAAAAAATGAAAATTTTCCAGTTTAAAGAATTTTCCAAAATTTTAGGGAAAAATGAAATTAATGAGTTTTTATGCGTTTTTGCATTTATGTAAATTGCAAAAACGCATATTGGGAAGAGGCTGTCTGTG